CTCCGGGTCTGGGATGTGCTTCTATTTGAAGGAAATCGTGTGATGTTATTTCGGACAACATTGGCATTGATGGATCTCTATGGTAATATTCTTGGCAGTAAGCATTGGTTGAATTTCTTGGTTGTTCAAAATAATTAATTCTTTATGTATTTATACTTCTTATGTAGGACCTGCATTGGTGACAACAAAGGATGCAGGAGATGCGGTTACCCTGCTGCAATCGCTTGCGGGGTCCACATTCGATAGCAGTCAACTTGTTTTGACAGCATGCATGGGCTATCAAAATGTTACCGAACATAGATTACAAGAATTGAGGAATAAGCACCGGCCAACTGTCAATGCCGCACTTGAAGAGAGATCTAAAGGTTTAAAGGTTTGGAGAGAATCTCAGAGTCGTCTAGCATCTAAACTGTATGGCTTCTCACAAGATCCTGGCTCTGTGGTGGTGACCAATAAAAAGGATAATAGAAACTCCAACGGAAATGTGGATCCTTCATCAGTTAATGCTGATGAGCCATATGTGAGCATGAACAAAAACACGGAGAAGGATTCTGGTCCAGATCTTAAAGAACAGGTTGCCTCTAACATCCATAGTTCTATGAACTTGATACTCGTTGGCTTCTTTACAAGGAATTCAAGTTTTTGTTCATTGCGAAAGTGCTGTATTGAAAAAGCTTATTTTCATGGAGCTTCTATCTATAAAAAACATTGATGTTTGAGAAAAGGATGGCACACAATCTTAGTTAATTTTTTTGGGAGGTTTCTTGCCATGCATGAATAGGAAGCAATGACCTATTATGGTCACACAGATATGTGATTAATCTTAAGAGGAAAAATGCTACACCTTTAACTCACAGCATTCTGTTATTTGAAACGTAGTATGCATGAACTGTTCTTTTTGCAGGTGGTGTGGTTAAAGGTTGAACTGTGCAAGCTGCTTGAGGAAAAAAGATCTGCTGAACTAAGGTAATATAGTCTTAGAGCAGTCTCCTTTTGCTTCTGATTCCTACTAAAGTGATGTATTTCCAGCTGAATATTTGTTTAGGCCATTCCTACCCCATATATCTAAAGTTATGGCTTTGTAATTTATAGTAGGGATTCTGAGTAAAATGCAAAGTAAATGGTCACTAAAAAGAGATTAGTATTCTGCTGATGTTTTCAAAATTTTGGACTGTCTTGAGAAAGAAGTGGAATAATTGGATGGAAAGGTCATGGTTTATGCTTCACTTTTATAGTTATTCAGTGCATTTATTTTTTAACAGCAAATTTGCCTTTCCTGTCTGCAACCCAAAGTAGAGTATTGCTAGTCTCTATCAAGTAGCTTCATAAGAGCAGGATGTTCCCCCAGCAAGACTTTCTTTTCTTACTCCCCTACAATACCACATTGCCTGTAATCAAAGAAAATGATTTCATATTGGAAACAACCCCCCCCCCCCCCACCTTCTACATCTTTCTGAAGTTGATGTATTGACTCTATAGTTGAAATGAATTTTTCAGGGCCGGATTTAATTTTTTCCCTATGTGTAAATTCAATTATTTCCCAATTTACGTATGTGTCCATCTTACCTTAGTTTAAAGATGGCATGAATTTCTATGTGTTTTATTTGAGTGCAGGGCTGAGGAATTGGAAACAGCATTAATGGAGATGGTCAAGCAGGATAACCGTCGACAATTAAGTGCAAGGGTAAATTAGAGAATCCTTCATCATTGAATTGCCATCATCTTGCTGTTAAGGCAGGGTTTGGTAACTTGTTTTCGGTAGTTATGTGTTTCATGGTGATATTGTGTTAATATTAGTTAATGGCCTTGAGTGAATATCACAAGGTCAGTCAATGGGTAGTTGCATACAAAATAAGAATGGATGGAATAGAAGCCATCTAACATGGAGAAATGCTGTCAGTTAATCAAAAGTGGACCACTTGCCACTGAACTTTGATATCCTGAGCAAACCCTAAACCTTTGTTTGGTTGAAAGATTTTGGAGGGTAGGAAAGTGAAGGAGTTCTGGAGGGGGGGGTGGAGGGGAGAGAAAAGCGCGGAACTCTAAAATCCTCCAAAGTCCAAACTCCTTGTAACCGACATTCCAAGTAGGGGGATTATGGAGGAGTTATTTTTTCCTAATTACTTTCACCATTTCTTTAATCAAATGTGTTCTACATTATTATTGGTATATATGTAGTTATGTATATTGATATACTTCAAATTACAAAAAAAATGTCCACGGTGAACCAAACTTTCACCTACATACTTTTTATATGTTCCAGAAATACGACTCCCTACACACTACTTCATTGAACCAAACATAATATGGAGTATTGTGTTAAACACCTTCATCCCCCATTTTCTCCCCCAACTCTCTCTTTTGAATCAAACAAGGGCTAAAGGCTTTATGGAGCCTCTTGCTGAATTTTTTTCACTGATATGTATTATTCACTTGATTTAAGCTGGTGGTTTTACAAACTAAAACAAACAAAAAAACAATGGAGTGTTCAGGGTGCAAATGAACAGTCCCTTTTGGGCTTTTTATCATATGGCACTAATGGAACCTCAATACATTGCCTGTGGAACTGCTTGTGAAATTCGTTGTGGCATTTGGTTTGCTTTACTTTTTTAGAATATTTATGATCATACTGCTTAATTTCCATCATTTGAATTGGAGCCAAAGATTCACTATTTTTTGGCTTGAGAATATGATGGAATAAAGCAAAATGGCTCACTAAATTGTCTGCGCTTCTTTGTTATGAAATAACAGTCAGTCCATGCAATTTTGGATACGATTTTCACTATGGGTCATCCGGAAACAGTCTCTCTGTGCTTGAGTACAGGGGTAAGACTATGTACATCTGACCCCCCTTACCCCACCGTAGGTGGGAGCCTTTGCGGCACTGGGGTAAATGAAAATGATGAATGATGATCATACTGCAATCTGCAATGACTTTTCCTATGACTTGGTTGCCTTTAATGTATAGTGTTTTAGTTGGTAATCTTATTTATGTGGTTAGGTCGAGCAATTAGAGGAAGATATTAGAGAACTGAGGCAGGCGCTCGCGGACAAACAAGAACAGGAGAATGCTATGCTTCAAGTGACGACACAATTTGAATTTGACCACCTCTTTCTTTGTTGTTTATACTTTTTATGCGGATCTTAATAATTTTTCTTTGGGTGGTTAATAGGTGTTAATGCGGGTGGAACAAGAACAAAGGGTAACTGAAGATGCTCGAAGATTTGCTGAGCAAGAAGCAGCAGCTCAAAGAAGTGCCACACAAGTCCTTCAGGAAAAGTATGAAGAAGCTATGGCGTCCCTCTCAGAGATGGAGAAAAGGGTGGTCATGGCCGAATCCATGCTGGAGGCTACCTTGCAATACCAATCTGGTCAAACCAAAACCCTACCTTCCCCGCGGTACACATTCATATTAATCCTTTCTTTGATTTGGAAGATGGAAAGATTTGCTCCAAATCAAATTGGACTAACCTTGCAGAATAAAATATAATTTGGCCTCAAATATTCAACATTACGCATATAAATAGTAATTTCATAGGTGTTTGTGTGCTTTTGTGGTGGTTGATAGAGCTGGACAGCAAGATTCTTCACAAATGCAATTCAATCATCATGAAGAGATACCTTCAAGAAAAATCAGCCTGCTATCTAGATGGCGAGACAGGAACAAGGTTAGTTATATTGTTGTTAACTTTACCCTAATGATAATAGTAATTATAACAAGAATGGGTTATATCATTCCATCTGTTGCCTCATTGGCTTTTGAAAAATCTAATTGAGCAGGGGAAGAGTAGCTTGGATGAGGAGCCAGGTGGTGAGGTTAAGGCAGCAATGAATGAGATTGAAAGTCCAAGGGTCCCTCAGGAAGCGATGAATGGCCATCCAGTAGCAGAGCTAGCATAAGAAAAGCTGGGGCCTGGCCGTGTGTGTTCTGATGAGATCTGATCAAAATTGTCCCTGTTTTCATCCCCCATGCCAGCTATAAATCAGTTTATTTGTTTAATAGCCCTGAGAATAATTCTGCATAGTTGAAGGGATATATAATTTAATACTATCTATAATGGTACCATACAGTGTGTATTATATATAGAGCTTAAGATGGACAGATGAGTAGATATACTTTTGGTTACCCAGTTGTATAAACCATTGATTTAATTGTAAGTTTGATTTTGCGGTTCTAATGTATAATTCCTTATCGAGTAGACAGCCAGACAGGTGTGGAATGATGAAATAATAATGTTTGCCAAGTCTCATAACTTCAGCATCATTTGCCAACTTGAATTGGGACAGCATTTGTCAAACGAGAAAGAAAAAAGAATTCTGTTTTGTTAGGGTTGAAAGTTGAAACTTGAAAGCCCCATAATTTAATAATCACAGTTGACTTTAACTAGTCTATTTCTGAAAGTCTGAAACTATTGAAACATTATATAATCAAAATAACTCTTTAACAGTTCAGTACGTAGTATAATAGAGTGCTTTTTAGGAAGTACATATCACTCACTTGTAATAAATACTTGGCCAAATTCGAGACTTTGAATCTTTGATCAATTAAATATATATTGATAACCAAAACCGAATCAATAAAACTAGGCTTGGACCGGGTTCGGGAACCGGGTACCGGTTCCGGGTCTACACCCGGTTTGGGGTGGGTAATCGGGTCGGGTACAGGCTTAGGTAAATGAGAACCGGCCCAGCCGGTTCCAGGCCCGATTCGGGCCTTTCAATTTTTTTGTTGCTTTGGGGCTTTGGGCTGGGTTTAAATGGATTGGAATGGGTCTTTCAGATGGGTTTGTGGGATGGGGGGTGGGGGAATAAAAATAATCAGGAAAACAAAAAAAAAAAATATAACCGGACCCGACCCGGCCCGGGCCCCGACCAGCACCGGTCTACTTCCGGGCCGGTCCCAGTCCTCACAATTTTTTTTGGGCCCGGCCGGGCCTAGGCCCAACCCGGGCCCGGTTGAGTTCATCAATAGATAAAACCGAAACCGACAAAACTGAACCGAAGAACACCCTTAATTCTATATGCAAGTCAACATTGACCAAGTTTTCTATGAATGGGCTCAATCTACATACAAGTGGCTATTGTAATATGATATATATACATATTATGTATGTGTATACAAAGTAATTATGGGAATACAATTTCCAAAAAAAATTACATTACTATATCTACTATTATACACTATTGCGAGAAAAGAAAATGAGTGCAACCGGAACCAGCCATACTCGGTCCCGATTCCTTTTATAGAGCAGGAAACGGCCCACAATCGGATTGATCCACCCTTATTATGGAGCAATATATGACCAACAATAACTTGCAATAAAAATAGAAATAGTATGTCCACAATGAATCTAGCATTTTGATCTATATTTGAACAAGAAAAGTGGAAAGTAGGAAATTTAATTTTTTGGGTTTTTTCAATTTTCTTTCTTCAGATGATAATAATAAAAAGAATTGCAAAGTTTAAAAAATCTAAACACAGTATAATAAATTATGCACAGAAAAGTCGTTCAGGGAAAACTAGAATTTCCTTCCTTCAATATGATATGCTTCGTCGTCCAATATTAATCCTCCCCATTGCCAAGTAGAGCGCAAACTGCTCAAAAACTGCTCAAACCAACTTTCAAAAGTTGCTATCATCGCTGCACCCTTCTTGCTCTTGGGGTGGAAGGACCCAAAGGCCGCCTTTGGGCCGTGTGGGCCTGAGGGTCATACTTCTGGGACGCAAGATAGTTGAGGGCTGTGACCACATCGGCTATGAGTGGACGCATGTTGGGCTGCTCATGGACACACATTGCAGCAACAGCAAGTGCTTGATACATACCCCTCACCGGGTACTCCCCCTGAAGCATCGGATCTGCCATTTGTGAGAACTTCCTTCTGTCTTTGAATAGTGGCCGAGCCTGTCTCACATGTTCACCGAAATAAAAACAGGTCAACAAAGGGCATTCGTGAGAAGTTCCTCTTGAGACTCTAGAAAAGCAAAGAAAGAATGTGGCAAAAAAGGGTATTTTCTGAAGAGCGGTGTTTGGTGCATAATCAAGCTCTAGGACGCATTTGTACACAAGATGTTTTGTGGTTTTGTGCCTATGCGGGGCAAACTTTATCTATGTGGACTACAAAATTAATGTCCACATAGATAATGTTTCCCCCGCATAAGCACAAAACATCACTGTCAAAATCTTGCCTTTAACAAAAAAAACTTGTCGTACAACTTGGTTGTAGTAAAAACATTTTCCTTATCTGAAAGTGGCTGCATAGATAGGGGGGACTACTACAAAGGCTCATGTGGAAGGAGTTGTTTTTAGTTAGCCTTCCATGGCTCCCTTATTGTTTGGTATCATCATCACTGTTCAATATTATTGGTCCAGTGGAGTCAACTCACTTTAAAAATGAACGGTGATGATTATATCATCTGGCTCCATACGGGAATATGACAATGATCTTTAAAATATAGACTTATGGAAGTGTACATGGGTTGTTTCTAATAAGGAATTAAACTTCTAATCTCCTGCAAGCTTTTACGTGGCATGCCCTATATGTAATAACATTCTTATGAAGAAATGAGATGAAACCAAATAAAAACTACCATAATTTTCTTCTTCTTTCAGGCTCCGTTTGTTTAGATGAAATTATTTTCCCAGTAATATGTTTTTTGTTTTCCACATTTCCTTGGTGTATATACAAAAATCATTTCCCAAAATTTGTTTTCCTCTGTTTGCCACCATAATATATTTCCTTGATTCTTTCCCAGAATTTGTTTGGTCCGCTTGGCTCCGTTTGTTTGCATGAATATATTTTTCCTGATTATTTAGATTTTTGTGGGAATTAACTTCACTGTTTGAAAACAAGAAGTTAATATTTTCCTCAAAACTTTCTTTTGGTTTTCAGTTTCTGTGCGTCAAACATTAATATACAATTATACATAAAACCATTTATTTTCCAAGAAAACATTTTCTCCAAAATGTTTTCCACAAGTTATTTTCCTCAAGCAAACAGAGCCTAGGATGGAAGATTGTATGTGGCGATAATGAGTTGAGGTAGTTGTAAGTTGTAACAAGGCTAGTATTGCAAACTCAGCACAACACACACAAACTACAACTCTGCTAATGATAGAAGTTCACTAGTTAGTTACCCATGCAACCAGATTCTGCTCTTCAGAAGCTTTTGAATTGTCAATTGCCTTTCTGCCAGTGATCATTTCCAGAAGAACAACCCCGAAACTGTAAACATCTGATTTCAGTGTCAGCTGCCCGGTCATTGCATATTCGGGTGCACAGTATCCATATGTTCCCATCACTCTAGTTGACACGTGCGTGTTATCACCAACGGGGCCCAATTTGGCCAACCCAAAATCAGATAACTTGGGGTCATAGTCTTCACCAAGTAAAATATTTGAACATTTTAAATCTCGATATATCACAGGAGGATTTGCTTTGTCATGTAAATACTCCAGGCCCTTTGCAGCACCAGCAGCTATTTTCATTCTGGTGTTCCAGTCAAGTATCTTTTTGTGGGGTGAAATCTCTGTTGGATCATTTAATAGTATGAGTAACACTAATTAGATGCATATATGGTGTTATCAGGAATCTGGAAGAAATCAAAGGTATGTTTGGATCACTGGAAATGTTAGGTTAAGGGGGGGAAAGCCAAGGAAAGCTGTTTTTTTTATATATTTGGTTTTACCATAGAAAATGCAAACAAAATCAATCATGCCCATAATTTTCACAAATGTTTGCATTCGACGGTATGAATATAATAGAAATAAATAAATTGCGCAGGAACATATACCTAAAATAATTTATTGAGTTTGATCTTATCTTGTATGTCCACCCAAATTTTCTTCAATCGATTTTCCTCCCAATATTAATTTCATTGTATATTCAGGCTCCCAAATGGTCCCAAAGGTTTTAAAACTTGGGAAAATATTTATTGTAAACCAAGATGGTCTGATTGGAACCCAAAAAATGCTAGGGAAGAAAATATGAAAGAAATTAGCGGGGAAATTTGGAAAATGAAGACTTAGACTAGAAACTCAGATCAAACTCAATAAACAAATATAGATATTGTTCAAACTCGTTATATATACATATATTCATAATTATATATATGTATATATTTGAAAAGATCCATGATAAGTTATATGTTTTATATAAAGATATATAAATATGTGCAAAACTTGAAAAGATCTGTGATAAGTTTTATGTATTCTTAGATTGAATTTGAACATATATCTAAAGTCGTTCTTTGTAATATATGCCCACGGCTACACGTTGAGCAACACTTAATGTGTTTGATTTTTAAGTTTCAAGAAAGAATTGCTAAATTCAAGAAGAGAAGAAATGTGATTTGAAGTCTGGAACATCATTAAAATGTATGTAGTTATCATCATGATTAGGGTTTATTTAAGAAAACTACGGAGTATAACATTAAATACATATTAATTGCTTCTTAACAAGTGCCCATGGGCACTAATGAGATAAACTGAAACACATCATTTGAACTGGAGCCTATCTATTATTTTCTCCAAATTTTTCTTCCTTTCAACTTTCCTTTATATTTCTTTCCCCCAGAATTTTACAGGTCCCATATGAACCACTAACGCAATTTTTTCCTGGAATAGGATTACATAATATCGGTATATATGAAATGTTTGAAATGTGAATTTGTACATACCATGGAGATGGTCCTCTAGTGACCCCAAAGGCATGTACTCATAAACCAAAAGTCTTTGATCTCCATCAGCACAATACCCAATCAAGTTGACTAAGTTTGGGTGGTGAAGTAGGCTTAGCATCAATACCTCAACCAGGAATTCCCGATTTCCTTGTAATCCATCTCGATCTAGTTGCTTAATAGCCACAATCTATCCAAAAAGTGATAGGTAGAGGTTGCACAACAAATAATGTCATCTTATGATATGTTTGTAGTACTAGGCAGCCAAATACATAATGCCTGTAAGAGAAGCTACCAAATACATTAAGGGATAGAATGGGTATTTCTTTTTATCTTGTGTTGGAACTGCAACATGGAGATTCTATATTTCAAAGTTCGTTACACCTTACATGAATATTAATATGGGAACAGTATTGTAGCTTCCTAAATCGCAAATAGCCAAAAAATAGACTCCACCAAGACAACTCCTCCATTTCAATAAGATTATGCTCAAATCCTCAAAAAAACCATGAGGGGAACGGGGGTGCTCAGGAAGACAGGAAAGATGATACTTTCACATGTTTGGTTTTACCATAGAAAATGTAAAGCAAACTTGAATATAATTAAAAATCTTATATCTTTACATATATGCGGATTGCAAAGTCTCTATATAATAGACATAAAATAAGTATCAACATATATCTAAAATATTTGTTTGAGCTTTAGCATATCTTTCATTTTCTTCCACAATTTCTAACCTTTCAATTTTATTGTATGTTTTCCTTCCTATACTTTTTCACTGTAACTTTCCGGGGTTCCATATGAGGTTATGAACCCTAAAAGAGCATGCTAAGCCCAAAAGAATCCATCTTCTTTATTGTTTGTCCATCACTCCATCCATTTCTATTTAGAGTTTGAAATATCAGGATTGCAAACTAATTAATTAGTACGTACATTCCTACATTCTTATCATACAATTGAAACTAGGAATATGTTTGTCATCATCCTGAAACGCCCAAAAAAGAATCATATATCATTATAACAATTGAAGGACTACATTCGTAATTGGGTGGAGACTCGATATTTAAAAATTACCATGGATACTAAAGAACTAGAATTCAAAGGCTTTTTAAAACTTAAATGTTTGAATATCTATGGGCATAACATACCTGATTTGTGCTCTCTAATTGCCCTCTATATACCCTTCCAAAGCCCCCTTCACCTAAAAGACACTCAGCCCTGAAATTCTTGGTTGCAGAAGCTAACTCACGAAATGTGAATGTGTGTGCTGCAATGTGACCCAGACCTCCTCCATTTTTGGATGCTTCCTTCTTTTCATCCAAGGATGAGTTTACCTTTTGTTTATCTGAAATTATAAAATACATACATAAAAGCTCAAAACCTATGCCAACCAAAAAGGGCAATAAAAAGTGATGCATGTAAATTGTATGAGTAATTCTGTGAACAGATGAAATAAAAAAAAAAGTGAAAACCATTTCACTATTGAATGCCTCATTAGTCAACTACACTCTTGAGATTCTTTGGCATTGTCTCAACAGTAACATTGAGAATTCCAAATCTCAACATAAGAAAATCTACTATCTTCCAACATTCTTGAGATTCCCGAAATGATAAAATTCCTAATACTATCTACAAATATAATACAGTACAAAAACATATTCTACAAATCTACAATAAACCTATCCCTGAAAATGGTATGGTCGTCGTTAATCATGGTTAATCATTTCGAACTTCCAATCATGGAGAAGATTCAAAAACTTGTTCTGACGTTCATTAGCAAATTAGGTACAAAGCAGTAGGTATCCCACTCAATTAAATACCATTCAACTGAATTGATTAAAAACAATATCTACACCAAATTTCCCTGAGTTGAGACCTACATAACTGTAAATCTTCACTGACATCACCTGCGAACTGTATGTATGCAAAAAGGAAGAGCTAAAAATTCAAAATTTATGTAAGGCTACGAATTTCGGAGAAACCCATTAGGATTTTAGAACAGGAAAGGCACCTTATATATCAATCCAGCTTGAATCAGATCATAAAACAATAGATTAATGCCAACCAAACATGTACAAGTAATGTTTAATGGGGAAAAAAATCCGAGAAGAGAAATTCTAGTTCTAGGGAGTTCTCAGGACCCAAAAGTGAAAAGATAAAGGAGGCGAATCTGTTCCATATAAAGAAATCAACTTGATACATGAAATGTTCACATCAATCATCAAATGGTGTATCTTTCTCGTTAAATATGACGAGAACCTAATGCTGATGGGATCTGGTCAGTGGAGTTCTTGATGTGCAGCTGCTTTGGTTTCTTCTTCGATGTTCTGAAACAGCCCATGACTGCCCTCTCTCTGAAAGCTTGCTAGGTCTCCCTTGCGTTGATGAAGAGAGAAAAAGAAGAGAAAATCTCAATTTGCAAAAGTGCTCCCCGAGTAGGTCAGTCAGTATGTGCCTCATTTGTTCACTTTTGCATTTATGGTGAATGAATTATAAGCAATAGAGAAAACTCTCAAATAGGCCCTCGTACTTTGGCGAAATCCTCAATTAAGTCCTCGTACTTCCGAATCACCCAATTAAACCCGCGTACTCACCAAATACACTCAATCAGGCCTTCTTAGCCGGTGGCCACCCGGTTAGTCTGTTAGTGGCTGACATGGCCTCCAGCGTGTCCCTCCCCTTACCCGACTAATTGAAATGACGTGGCTTTTCCCATCCCCAAATAATAACCAAATTATCCATCCCCAAATCCATCCCCCTTAAACCTAAAATAGAAATCCATGCCCTGCAAAATAACGAACGACCGTTGTTGAAGGGAGAAGGCCAGTGTTCTGAACACAAAGTGCTGCGAAGGGGAAAGGAGAACAAGGTTCGCTGTTAGTACGCTCACTGAGACACGCGTAGGGGAAAGGAGAACGCCTGAGGGTAAGCCAAGTTTAGCTTAGAACGTTGTTGAAGGCCACTGTTCTGAAGCCCTCAATGGTATGTTCTTGTAGCTGCGGCATTGACATTTTGTATAATTAAATGTATGAACTGGTCGTTCATGTTTGTAGCTGTTATGAAGATTTTATATGTTGTTGAGGGTAATTGGAAGAATATAGGTACAAGTATGGTTTAACATTACTTGTGCGAGTTTGGTACTTCCCAATTTGCCATTACAACAATATACCTTTAATTTGGTTTGATGTCATTAAAGTATTGCCATTATACTTACATGTAATGTCCTACACTATCATTTGATTACTTTAAATTAGGTGTGCTTACATTTACACATTACTGTGAAGGTGAACTTTAATCAACAAAGGGTGAAGAATACAACTTTTACAGTGCACTACAGTTTCATGACAATATGTATGAATTCTTAAGTACGGGTCATTAAAGTTACACATGATTCTGAATATGTTAGTTCTTGACTAATCTATTACCTTTTGTGCCTAATATTTATGACATTCTACTGAAATGCTACATCTGCAGAATGTTTGAGACAATGGAGCTACTTGTACACCATGGTGGCAGCTTCAACTGTAATTCCAAGAAGATGTATGTTGGAGGGGTTCTTGAGACTGTACCTTCAGATCCTGATGTAATAAGTTATCCCCACTTGAAGAAATTTTTAGAAGGTCACAGCAATGCCGCCATCAAAGGTATATTCTTCAAGAAGCCTAATGCCAATATGGAGTCCTTGCAGGAATTGTGTGATGATCACACTGCACTGAAGCTAATAGAATTAGCTAGAAGCTGTGGACAGTGTGAGATCTTTGTAGACCATGCCCAAGATGAGCTACACACCCAAACAAATGTTATGGAAGCTGAAACTGAAATTCATGATGAACATGCTGAAGAAAATCTCATCAATGATGACACAGATGTTGGCAGTGATGCTGCAGGTGATGAAACAGATGTTGAGGGAGAACATCATAGTGATGGTTCAGAGGAAGACAATGCGGATGATGAAGAAGATGGGCTACTAAATGTTGAAGTACTGACCAATACTACCATACCAATGACACATAATGATCCTGAAATGGAGAATATACCTAGTCCTGAGCATGGGGTTGAGAATGAGAGTGAAGATGATACTGCTGAATATGACTCTTCTAACCCACCTAGCTTGCATTCAGAGGGAGAAGATGATGCTCAGTCCAAGAGGCTAGGTTATGGGAATGGATCCTATAACCCTGAATCTGATCCTCCCCACTTTAAGGTTGGCATGTTGTTTGAGGATGGTAAGCAATTTAAAAACGCAATGATTAGATATGCTGTATATCACAAAAGAGATATAGTATTTGTTAAGAATGAACCTCTGAGAGTGAGACTGAAATGTGCCAGCAATTGCCCTTTTGCCTTTACTGGTAGTTGGGAAGCTCACTACAAATGCTTTCAACTTAAAGTTTGGAATTCTGAGCATCTGTGTAACTTGAAGTAAAAGCTTAGAATAGTAAGTCAGAGTTGGATTGCTGAGACCTATGAGGAGAAGTTCACTGAGAATCCCTCAATGGGGGCTGCAGAGCTAAAGAAAATGCTTAAGGATGACAAAAAGTTGAATGTCTCAATCAGTATGGCAACAAGAGCTCTGAAAATAATGCAAGATAAAACCCATACTGCTTTTAAGGACCAATTCAAGAAAGTTAGAAACTATGCTGAGGAAATTGTGAAGGCGATTCCTGGTAGTACTGTGAAAATTAAGACAGATAGAGTCGTACCTGATGCTCCTATGGTGTTCCAAAGGATGTACATGTGTTTGGGACCTGTGAAAAGGGGATTCTTGGAAGGGTGTAGGAAGGTGATAGGTTTAGATGATTGCTTCCTTAAAGGGCAGTTGAAGGGAGAGATTTTAAGTGCTGTAGGAAGAGATGGCAATAATCAGATGTATCCAATTGCTTGGGCAGTTGTAGAGATAGAAAATACATCTTCATGGACTTGGTTTCTAGAGCTTTTGAGGGAAGATCTTGAGATAACTTACTCGGCTGAATGGACAATTATTAGTGACCAACAAAAAGTAAGTGTTCTGACATTGATATCAGTAAATGGTGTTGATGAATTACATTTCATTTTAACTGATTTTGATTTCTTTATGCATTTAGGGTCTGATGAATGTGATTAGTAGAGTGTTTCCTGAGGCTGAGCACAGGAACTGTGCCCGGCATATACATGCCAACTGGGCCAAAAATCATGGGGGAATGGTGCTTAAGAAATTGTTCTGGCAGTGTGCCAAATCTACTTGTGCAGGCCAATTGGAGTCATCTTTGGAAGAGTTAGATAAGCTTGCCCCACAAGCTGGTGCTGATTTGCGCAAACATCCATTCAAGATGTGGTGCAAGGCTTACTTTAGGACTGAGGTGAAATGTGATGCAGTTGATAACAACTTGTCTGAGGCATTTAACAGTACACTGGTGCAGCTTAGAGACAAACCACTTATACCAATGTTTGAGGGAATGAGAGTGGCAATGATGAAAAGAATAGCAAAGAAAAGGAAGTATGTGAGGAAGTGGCCTGGTAAGTATGTTCTGACCTTTTATTGATATGACTACAGCTGAAAATTTACTTCAATACAAGTGGTAATGTGTTTAGTTATATTTAAAGTATTACTGAAATAGTAATTCTTTCATGTTTGTTATGAAGGTGCATTTGGTCCACTTATCATGAAGAAATTGAACAAAAGTATAATAGCTAGTCAGGGCTGGCATGTTGATTTTAATGGTGATGATGGGTATGAGATAAAAAAGGGTAGGTTCCAATTCAAGGTCAGCCTGAACACAAGATCTTGTGCATGCAGAAGATGGGATCTTTGTGGTATTCCCTGTGCACACGCCATATGTGCAATACTTGATAAAGGGGATGAACCTGAAACCTATGTACACTCTTGCTACAATAAAGACCTCTATGAAAAAACATATTCCTACACACTGCCACCAATTAATGGTGAGCTACTGTGGCCAAGAACTCAATTTGGAGAAATTCATCCTCCCATTCCCAAAAAAATGACTGGCCGGCCAAAGAAGAAGAGAGTGAGAGAAGAAACTGAAGCCCCTCCACCATCAGGGACTCAACTAACAAGAAAAGGAAGAATCATGAAATGTTCTAACTGTCAAGGAGAAGGTCACAATAAGAAATCTTGTAAAAAAGGTTCTGATAGGGCAACAGAACCAAATGAATGGCATACAATGACTGGTGAAACTGGAATAGGTGAAAGGGGTAGAGCTAAGAGGGGTGGAAGAGGGGATGTTCACAGGAGGAGAGGAGATACTGCCACAGATCAGGTGGGTAGTCTTGAAAGTGTGACACTTGAGGGGGGTAGTGTACAAAGTGGAAGTGCTCACAGGGGGGGAGTTCAGAAGGGGAAAGGGCAGAGGGGGAGAGGGAATAGGGGAGGTGGTAAGAGGGGTAGAGGAGAAAGGGGTTTCAGAGTGTATTTTGATGAAAGTACAGGGATGTCAATATTGGAAGTGAGTTAATTACTTGTGTACTTTTTGTATTCAGCTATTTATGTTTTTCTAATAAAGACTGAAGATGTTATTTTTTATGCGTGCTTGCAGCCAGGACAAATAGGAGAAACATTGCTTACAAGATCTGAAGATCATATAGTGGAGGGGGAGGAGAGGAAGCTGAATGACTTGGAATAGGGTGTTGGAAGTTTCAGTATTAGTGTAGTTATACAAAATCCTATCGTATCAGTAATTTGTGTTTTTGGATAAACATTTCTAATCATGTAATGATGGCCTTCCTGGTTTAGTATTAGTGTAGTTACTCAAAACCCTATCCTATCATGTAATGGTGTTGTTCACTGCCAAAACTTATCGTATGTGTATTCTCACATTACAATCTTTTTGCTTCCTTGAATGGATTAGATATGATTATGGTGTTCTGACATTAAAATGTATTTACAATCTTTATGGACTACTACTTAATGTATATTCAGCTACATGGATATGAAGTACTGGTTTACTGGGTTCATGAAGTACTGAGTAATGGTGTTACATTTGTTTAATATATATTGAGCAAAATGGATATGAAATACTGGTTATTTGGGTGTATGATGTCTTGAGTTTGGGGTCCTAGGGTTAAATGAAGTCCTGCCTACAAGTTGTAATGAAGTCCTGGGGTTTACATTTCCTCTTATGTCTGGTTGGTGGTAGACTGGTAGTCAAACCAAACAACTTCAGCAATAAAGTAGTAATTGGAGTACTGAAATGGTTGTCCATAAGAACTCTGTCCAGGCACTTTAATTCCCTCAGTACTTGTTCATAAACTCATTTTAGTCATTGTGTTGTATAAGCCATTATCATATACTACACAAAATATAATAACTATAACAAAAACTATCACAAGTAAGCTTCAATGAAGAATATTATTCCATTGCAAATGGATTACATGAACCAACATTGTGCCATTCAAGTACTACCAAATGAAAGCATTACATAAAGGCAGAAACTGAAATACATTACACATGACCTTCCCATTACACAAACCTACTTATACAAACACAATTGACCAAAGTCAGTACATCACAAAGAAATCTAATGCTAACATATTAGGATGTACTGAAAGACATTACACATGACCTTCTCATTAGTATCCAAAGCCAGTACAAACATATGTAGAAACTTCAAAGCCATTCAAAGTGCTAACATATTAAGCCATCACATCCTCAAATACAAACTACCAACTAAACCTATAAGTACAATCATAGCAAAACCATACAACTTCCTACTCTTTTTGTTCACCATAGCCTCATTGTCAACCACAGTCTGGACACACTCCACAACAGTGTGTACATGAGAAATCTTCTCAGCAATGCCCTCAAGCATTTTTTTGAAATCGTCTACAATTTCGAGCTTAGCTTCAGCCATGATAAATTCTTTCTTCTCTTCAGCCCTGACAATGTCTTTCATTCCTACGTCTTCCTTCCATAAGAAAAAACCGCAACTCCCAACCTGTTCACAATAAGATGTTTAAGAAGTTCATGCTATTTTTGAGAAGTCAAGAACAACACATGAAAATATGAAGAAACCGAGAAGGCGAGACACTGTAATTCAAAATCACAGAGCCACAGCATACACTAACCTTCCATTTTTGACACCCAAAAAAGCTTCTCCCACTCTCTCGCTCAACACACAGTGGAGCTTTCAATCCACACCAACAATGGACCGCAGGCTCATAGTCAAACGTATGACTTCGTTCTTTTACAAATGTTGATGATGATGAAGACGACATGCTTGCGAAGCCTCGTCACAGTCGCAGTCGCAGAGATGGCGATTGGAGAAGGATTTCTATTTTAGGTTTAAGGGGGATGGATTTGGGGATGGATAATTTGGTTATTATTTGGGGATGGGAAAAGCCACGTCATTTCAATTAGTCGGGTAAGGGGAGGGACACACTGGAGGCCATGTCAGCCACTAACAGGCTAACCGGGTGGCCACCGGCTAAGAAGGCCTGATTGGGTGTTTTTGGTGAGTATGCGGGTTTAATTGGGTGATTCGGAAGTACGAGGGCTTAATTGAGGATTTCGCCAAAGTACGAGGGCCTATTTGAGAGTTTTCTCTACGCAGTAATAATAATATCAAGGGAAAATCGCATATATGACCCCTCAATTATACACGAAATTAAAATCTCAGACCTGTATTTCTGAGATCGTAAATGTCACCCCTCAATTGTCCAAAATGCTGTAAATGTAGTCCTTTTGAGGGGTGAAATATACAATGTGTGCGAGAGTACATTTCACTACTTAAAGAGCCACATTTACAACATTTTGGACAACTGAAGGGTGACATTTACAATCTTAGTAATACAGGTCTAAAATTTTAATTTCGTGGATAACTGAGGGACCATATATGCGATTTCCCCTAATATCAAATTATCCCAACTTCTCAAAGGCTCTCACCTAAGGTGTAACTGTTTGATTTAACCGAACCGAATCGTATCAACTCGAATTAAACCGAACCGAAACCGGACCGTATGTAATTTGGTTTGAGTTTGGTACCATTTCTTCCAAACCGTATTAAACCGAACCGAACCGAAACCGATAAAAACGAACAAAACCGAACCGAACTAAAGAAACTAAAAAAAACTTTCATATATTATTAAAATTAGTGGTTTGATTTGGTTTGGTTTGGGTTTACTTAAGTAAATTAAACCGTTTGGTAAAGATTTGCTCAAACCGAATAGTTTGGTACTTTGGTTTGGTTTGGTTTAAAATGGAAAAACCGTAAACCGAACCAAACACCGAACGACATGCATATAATTATTTTGTATTTATCTTCACTCTTCATTTTTAGATATAAATAAATAATTTAGACATGAAAATACATATTTAAGGATATACTCTATCATTTTAACTTTCACACATTTCATACATTCATTATGACAAAATTAGCTAATACGACATATTTGTATTTATTATGTTTGACGATAACAATAGCAAATTGCATTTATATTTTTACATGATTCGTTTGAATAAAATTGTGAATATTACAACATTTGTACCACCGACTCTTTTAGGTTTTTTTGAATATTTTATGTGATATTATAAATGCTTTACATATTTGAACATTTGTATTTTACAACTATCTTATTTTTGTAAGAAGCGAATTTTTTGTAGTGATAAAAAAGATGCTAGAAGTTTTAATTTATAATATGTTATTTTTTTCCTATCTTTTATTTCCTTTTAAATTTTATTTAAATAATCAATAAATTAAAAAAAGATGAGATGGACTACTACTTTCATTTTCTAATTCTACAATATAGAACTTGATCAAATAAAATAATAAACACAAGCAAACGAATCAAATCAAACTAAATTAAACATAATATTTTTTTACTTTGGTAAACCGAACTTCAAACCAAACCGAAACACAAATGGTTTTAGTTTGGTACAAATTCTCCCAACCCGAATAAACCGAAACCGAACCGAAACCGAAGAAAACTGAACCGTAAACCGAATTGCCCACCCCTAATGGGTAGGGGTCGGATGCATGCAGTCTTACCCCTGTACTAAAGCACAAAGAGATTGTTTCCGAATGACCGATAGTGAAAAACGCGTCGAAAATTGCATAGACTGACTGTTACTTCATAAACAAAGAAGCGCAAACAGTTTTTTTGAGAAGCGCAGACAGTTAAGTGAGCCATTTTGCTTTATTCCATCATCTTCCCAACCCAAAAAATAGTGAGTCTTTGTCTCCATTGAAAATGATGGGAAAAGCAGTAAAAATCTGAAACAAAAAAAAATGCAGCTCGTTTTTTAATATTATTTGAAATACGGAGTTTTTGAAATGGGAAAAGGGACAGATATACCCTTATACTATTAGTGTAGGAACATATATACCCTTATATTATTTTTTAGAACAAAAAGCTGATAAAGTTGAAATTCAGGTACAAATAAACCCTTCCTAACGTTTTAAAATTCATCTGTCATACTCCGTCGGTATCTAAAATCATCTGAGAAATAAAACCCTTCCCAGCCCCTCTCTTTTCCGTTCTTTCTTTGTCCATTTCGTATATCACAGCTGATGATTGATGACGACCATATTCCTTAATTCTTCTCTGTTTTCATAAAATTTCGTAATGTCTTATTCTTCTTCCTTGACTCCATCCACAAGGTCTGAAAAGCGTTTGAATTTTGAGATTGTCTATCAACTTATCAAGGACAATGCAAAAAATGCTTTTGTGGAGAAACGGCTCCAAGATTCAAATCAGACTCAAAGCAATTCCGGGCTACGTTTTACGGTTGTTCAAATTATAAAGTGAGGGTTTGTGTTTGTTTTTGTTTCAATTTTTTCTTGCTGGGATATTGTGGTTGTATTTTTTTTGGTTTTTTTTTCATTTGTTTCAAATGGAAAGTGAATATCTATTTAAATTGCAGGCTAATGTATGTGGATATTTTGAATGACATGATGAAGCTTTACCGGGGGCCAAAGATTTGATAAACAAGATGAAGTTAGAAAAAAAAATGCTAGAAATGGAGAATAAGAGACTCAACTTTCGAGAGTGAAAATGCCAAATGACTTGGTAGAACAAGAAATACAACAGTTGTGAAGGGAATTAGAAAATGTGAAGAAACATGCTACTGAAGAGGGAACCTTATTGGCATATGAAGCAACAATGAAGAAGCAGAAAAAAATAGCATACATTTTTGCTATGAT